CTTGCCGCCCCGGCCCCGTCACCGACCCGCGCCACTCGCCGGGCTGCCCCTCTCCGACCTCGTCGCCGTCCGCCTCCCCGCCGGCCTGCTTCCCCTGCGTCGTCGTCGTCCCCGGCCCCCTCCACGAGCTCCGCCGCCTCGACCTCCTCCTCGCCGGTCCTCCCCGACCGTCCCCGAGCCCTCTGCCTAGACCCTACGCGCCCCCACCACTACGAGACCGACGCTGCTGCTGCCCAGTTCGACTACAAAGTTGACGACCCCTCTCTCTTGCCAGAGCAACCAGGCAAGCCCCCCCCCCTTGATCACCAGATATCGCCTACTCTACTCTATACTGCTTGCATTAGAGTAGTGTAGCATGTTACTGCTTTCTGTTATACCTATTCTGATGCATAGCCTGGCCTTGTTACTACTGTTGTTACCTTTACCTGTAATCCTATATGCTTAGTATAGGATGCTAGTATATTCATTTGTGGCCCTACATTCTTGTCCGTCTGCCGTGCTATACTATCGGGCCGTGATCACTCGGGAGGTGATCACGGGTATATACTATATACTTTATACATGATACATGTGGAGACTAAAGTCGGGTCGGCTGGTGGAGCACCCGCGAGTGGATCTTTGTGGCGGAGCGACAGGGCAGGTTGAGACCGCCTAGGAGAGAGGTGGGCCTGGCCTTGTTCGGCATTCGCGGATACTTAACGCGCTTAACGAGATCTTGGTATTTGATCTGAGTTGGCTACGAGCCTATACGCACTAACCAACTACGTGGGAAAGATATGGGCACTCGGCGTCGTGGTATCAGCCGAAGCACTTCGTGACGTCAGCGACTGAGTGGCGCGCGTCGAATTAGACTGGAACGCCACTAGGCTAGGTCTGCTTTCGGCCGCCCACGCAACATGCAGGTGTGCTCAGGGCGATGGGCCCAGACCCCTACGCGCTTAGGTTTAGACCGGCGTGCTGGCCTCTCTGTTGTGCCTAGGTGGGGCTGCAACGTGTTGATCTTCCGCGGCCGGGCATGACCCAAGAAAGTGTGTCCGGCCAAATGGGATCAAGCGTGTTGGGTAAGTTGGTGCACCCCTGCAGGGAAGTTAATCTATTCGAATAGCCGTGATCTTCGGTAACAGGACGACTTGGAGTTGTACCTTGACCTTATGACAACTAGAATCGGATACTTAATAAAACACACCCTTCCAAGTTCCACAGACAACCCGGTGATCGCTTTTCCACAGGGCGACGAGGGGAGGATCGCCGGGTAGGTTTATGCTATGCGATGCTATTGGAGATGCTACTTGGAGATGCTACTTGGAGGACTTCAATCTACTCTCTTCTACATGCTGCAAGACGGAGGCTGCCAGAAGCGTAGTCTTCGACAGGATTAGCTATCCCCCTCTTATTCTGGCATTCTGCAGTTCAGTTCACCGATATGGCCCTTTACACATATACACATGCATATGTAGTGTAGCTCCTTGCTTGCGAGTACTTTGGATGAGTACTCACGGTTGCTTTTCTCTCTCTTTTCCCCTTTCCCTTCTACCTGGTTGTCGCAACCAGATGCTGGAGCCCTGGAGCCAGACGCCACCTCGACGATGATTCCTACTACACTCGAGGTGCCTACTACTACATGCAGGCCGCTGACGACGACCAAGAGTAGTTAGGAGGATCCCAGGCAGGAGGCCTGCGCCTCTTTCGATCTGTATCCCAGTTTGTGCTAGCCATCTTATGGCAACTTGTTTAACTTATGTCTGTACTCAGATATTGTTGCTTCCGCTGACTCGTCTATGATCGAGCACTTGTATTCGAGCCCTCGAGGCCCCTGGCTTGTATTATGATGCTTGTATGACTTATTTATGTTTTAGAGTTGTGTTGTGATATCTTCCCGTGAGTCCCTGATCTTGATCGTACACGTTTGCGTGTATGATTAGTGTACGATTGAATCGGGGCGTCACAAGTTACAACTATCCAGGATTACTTGTCGTTACCTAGACATCATCAGAGGTTCTATCCAATGTTTAGCGACCATTCCTTCTAGATCCTAGAACACTAACGCAGAGGATGGCATGATGCCTAGTGAAGAGGAAGGGAAGGAGAGTCATGACTCCCCTAAGGCCATTCCTTCTGGCTAACTAACTCTCCGACTCAGAGCACCTACAAATCTACTCTTTCGGTATTACCCCACAACAGATGTGTCTCGTTTAGCAAGTATGACAACTAGGCAATGAGGAGCTTTCATTGTAATTACCATTGCAAATGAATAAGTATTTTTGTAGCAGTTTTTAGTTTCAATAGCTATTTTAAGTTGCAATAGCATATTTGTATATTGATAGTTAAAGTTGGCCGCCTTCGACCCATCGGTGCCTCAAATGGCTGAGTTATGGATTGAAAAACAAGTTCTTCCGAGATTGTATTATGCGAGGAGTTCTTGAACCGGAATTCCATATTCTTCGCTCATAGCAAATAATAATACTCTTTTGGTATAAATCACATACTCCTTCCTCCATTAAGTTTGGCCATTTAGGCTTTTGTCTCGTTCTTTCTCTTGTCTTGTACCACACAGCACCAAATTGGTGGCTAATCTCTGAGATGGCTATTTTAGTTTTTTCTCGGTACAAGTTGAGAGTTTATCCATTGGTTTTCTTTTCTTTGTTTATAGATTGATATTTTCCTACAATTTTTTGTTTTTGTATAGCTTCCTGTTTGATTTTATTTCTTTTTTCCCATTTCTTTTATCATTTTTTCTAATTCATGAATATTTTTAAATCCATAAAAAAGTAAAAAAATCATCAACAGTTTTTTTACGAAATCATGTGTTTTAAAGAAACCTGAATAGTTCCTATAAATTCATGAACATATTTAGAGCAACTCCAACGGAGCGACCCAAACGGACACCGATTTTGTCCGCTTTTTGTCTGTTTGGGTCGCCCGTCCGTATCTGCTTTTTTATTTGGGTCGGCAAGTGCGCTCAACGGAAGGCAGGCCCATTTTATGCATGTCCGGGTCGGCATTTCGTCAAACACATATAGCTCGCAAACGCCGGTGCACGTTGGCCATGGCCTGGACGAGCTGGAGCCTGCTGCTTGAGGTCGGGCGCTTGGCGAGACCATGCAGCAGCTGGGCGCGGGGAGGCGAGGCCAGGCCGGGTTCGACGCGGGGCGAGACCAACGGCTGCAGTAGCGCCGCCCGGGCGAGCGGACGAGCTGGAGCCCGCCATGGCTCTGCTGCGCGGCAACGCAAGCTTGGCGCACCGTGGCGAGTTCCATGTATTGGAGGGGAGGTCGCGAGCGGGGCGAGCGAAGGCCACGACAAGCAGGGCGAGCAAAGGCCACGGCGAGCACGGGAGCGGCTAGCTACGCACGCGGGGTAGCATGCGTTGTGCATGCACGCACGCACGCAGCCACCTGCACGGCCGGAGCAGCATGCCCGCCGCGCTCGCCGCAGCTCACCGCGGCCGCTGCGCCAGCTCGCGCCCGCCACAGCTCCTGCCTGCCGCATCTAGTTGCACCCCCGCCCCCGCGTCTCGTGCTGCAGCTCGCCACGTTTCCCGTGTGTTGCATCTGACCGCGCACCTCGAGCTGCAGCTCGCCACCCTTGCGCCCGACGGAGCCGCCCCGCACGCTGCCAACCCCTGCGCGCCGCGCCCTGCTCGCGCTGTAGCTCGCCGGAGCCATCCTCGTCGTGCCTCGCGCGTCTCTGCCCGTGCCTCGCTCGCGCTGTAGCTCGCCGCGTCCCGCGCGCTGCCGCTCCGCGCCCTGCGCTGGCCGGAGCCATCCTCGCCCTGCCTCGCACGCCTCTGCCCGTGCCTCGCTCGTGCGCGCCGCATCCCGCGAGCTTGGGCGCGGCAAGGCAAGGCCAGGCAAGGCGAGTCGACGGGCGCGGCCGGGGGAGCACGAGCCCACCACGGCGGAGCACCAGCGCCGGAGAAGAACGAGCGGGGTGGGTGGATGGGAGAAGAAAAAGGAGGAGAGAGACGGGATGGGATGGATGGGTGGATGGCAAGTGGGGCAGGCAGCACATGCAACCGGACAGAGGCGGACGAGGAGGGCATAGATAGCGCCCGCTTTTGACCCAAATTTTCTCAAATTTAAGACGAAAATGGGTCCGCGCGGACACAAAACGGACAGCAGGTGGACGCTGCCTGTTGAGTCAATTTTTATATGCGGATGATCCAAACAGATAAAATGGATCGCTCCATTAAAGTTGCTCTTAAAATCCATAATTGTTAACGTAGGCTTTCAAGTCCAGCCCAGTAGACATTGACATGCAGCAGCAGCATCAGAAATTCAGAAGAGCAGTGTCAGCCGTTGCGTGCGCGCGCGCGAATTCGATATCGGCGAATGCCAGGCGAAGCCGTCGCTTTGACGGCCCCGGCGTACGGCGCTCTGATCCACCGCCTCGCCTCCACCGGCCGCGTCGATGCCGTCCACGCCGCCCTCGCCTCCGCGCGCTCGGCCCTCGCCCCCGCCTCCCTCCACCCGCTCTACGTTGCCTCCATACGCGCCTTCGCCCGGGCCGGCCGCCTCCAGGCCGCCGTCGACGCCTTCGAGCGCATGGACCTCTTCGCCTGCCCGCCCCAAGCCACCGCCTATAACGCCATCATGGACGCCCTCGTCCACGCCCACCACCACCACCAGGCTCACAAGGTCTACGTCAGGATGCTCGCCACCGGGCTTGCCCCCGACCTTCACACCCACACCATCCGCCTCCGCTCCTTCTGCCTCACCGCCCGCCCGCATGTTGCCCTCAGACTCCTGCGCACTCTGCCAGACCGTGGATGCCATGCCAGACCCGTCGCATACTGCACCGTCGTGTCTGGACTCTATGCGCACGGCCACCCCCACGACGCACGTCGCCTGTTCGATGAAATGCTCCAGGGACCGGTGTTCCTTGATACTGCCACTTTTAACAAGGTCCTGCATGATCTTTGCAAGAAAGGGGATATCTCTGAGGCTGCCGCGCTTCTCGCCAAGGTTCTCAAGCGGGGGATGTCTGTGAACAGGTTCACCTACAATATTTGGATCAGGGGGCTCTGCGAATGTGGGAGGTTGGCCCAAGCCGTTGCACTTGTAAAAGAGATGGACGACTACATCACACCAGACGTTGTGACCTACAACACGCTCATCCGTGGCCTTTGAAAGGGCTACAGAGCCCAGGAGGCTGCACACTACCTTCGTAGGATGATGAACCGGGGCTGCATGCCAGATGATTTCACCTATAACACCATTATTGATGGGTACTGCAAGATGGGAATGATGCAAGAAGCTACTGAGCTCCTTAAGGATGCTGTCTTTAAAGGTTTTGTACCGGACCGGGTCACATATTGCTCCTTGATCAATGGCCTATGTGCCGAGGGTGATATCGAGAGGGCGCTGGAGCTGTTTAATGAGGCCCAAGCAAAAGAACTGAAACCTGATCTGGTAGTGTACAATTCTCTTATCAAGGGACTCTGTCGCCAGGGGCTGATCTTGCAGGCCTTGCAGGTCATGAATGAGATGTCCGAGGACGGTTGTCATCCTGACATTTGGACATACAACATTGTTATCAATGGGCTGTGCAAAATGGGGAATATTTCGGATGCCACAGTTGTGATGAACGATGCCATTTTGAAAGGATACCTTCCTGATGTGTTCACCTTCAACACATTGATTGATGGGTACTGCAAGAGGTTGAAGCTGGACAGTGCTCTTCAGCTTGTTGAAAGGATGTGGACATATGGCATCACCCCTGATGCTATCACATACAATTCGGTCCTTAATGGTCTCTGCAAGTCTGGGAAGGCCAATGAAGTTAACGAAACATTCAAAGAGATGACACTTAAAGGATGTCGCCCAAACACTATTACCTACAACATACTGATAGAGAATTTCTGCAAGTCCAATAAATTGGAAGAGGCCTCTGGGGTGATAGTGAGGATGAGTCAAGAAGGACTAGCTCCTGATGCAGTTAGCTTCAACACACTTATTCATGGATTTTGTAGGAATGGTGAGATTGAGGGAGCGTACATACTTTTTCAAAAATTGGAGGAAAAGGGGTACTCCACAACAGCTGATACATTTAATATCCTAATTAGCGCATATTGCAGTCAACTGAACATGCAAATGGCTGAAAGTATTTTTGAGAAGATGGTCCAGAAGGGATATAGACCTGATTCGTATACTTATCGCGTCCTAATTGATGGATCATGCAAGACTGCAAATGTTGACCGTGCATACGAGCATCTCGTGGAAATGATAAATGGGGGTTTCATTCCATCAATGGCTACTTTTGGCCGTGTAATAAATACACTCGCAGTGAACCATCAGATTACGGAAGCTGTGGGCGTTATTCGTGTCATGGTTAGAATTGGAGTTGTTCCCGAGGTTGTAGATACCATCTTGAGTGCTGATAAGAAGAAGATAGCTGCACCAAAGATACTTGTTGAGGACTTGATGAAGAAGGGTCACATTAGTTACCCTACTTATGAAGTACTGCATGAAGGAGGGAGAGATAACAAACTAAATAGAAAACAGGAACAGAATAAATATATTTAGCATGGTTGCCTCACAACATCAGTCATTCACTCAACCACAAGTACTTGTTTGAGAGAAACCACAAGTGCTTATGTCATTAGGTCCGCAAAATCTTGGATGCAACAAACTTGATCACCTCAAGGTTATACTTTCATATTTCTGCTCAGAATAGGGAGATCATCTGTTCTTAGATGCAAGAATACAAAGGTCTGTGGTAAATCTCTATGCTTCACACTTCTTGTATTAAGAGTTTCCTGCATTAAGTTTCAATCTGCTTCACGTTAAAAGTTTAGTGGTGTGGGACTGTTAGAGTACGTAATGGGCCTAATGGCCTAGGCTGCCGGTATATCCCGTTAGTCTTAGGGTTAATTAGAGATAAGGGTCGCTTGCTTAGGGGTCAAGTAAGCTTTGCTTGGGAGTCAAGTAAACCTCTCTATATAAAGAGAGGAGTTGTATCAATCTAATCAAGCAAGAATTAAGAAGGAAATCCCTTCCATCTTGCCCGGACGTGGGCAAAAGGCCCCCGGCCGGCCCTCTCGCACCCTCCTTCTAGCAGCACCATAACAATTTGGTATCAGCCAGCTTCGGTTCGATCATGTCTTCACCGCCGCCCAACCCGTCTCTTCCGCTGCCGGGATCCTCTGTCACACCCGCCCCCGCCGTCCTCACCCCGGAGGAGGTGTTCGGGGCGCTGCGGGACCTAACCCAGGCGGTCCAGGAGATCCGCCTGTTCTTGGCCGGGTCCTACGGGCCGCACCCAGCTGCGCCGCCCATCGCCGCCACCGCGCCGCCGTGGCTGCCGTGGCAGCCGCCGCACCAGGCGGCCTCCGCCGCGCTCACCGGGTCACTGCAGCAGCCGGTGCAGCTGCCATCCACCGCCCCGCCCTGGCTGCAGTGGCAGCCGCCGCTCCTAGCGGCCTCCGCCACGCCCGGCGATCCGTCGCAGCAGTCGCTGCTACTGCCCCAGGGCGTCCCCGCCGCGCTCGCTGGGCCGCGGCAGCCGCCGCTGCAGCTTCCATCCACCGCCACCACCGCCCCGCCCTGGTTGCAATGGCAGCCGCCGCTCTTGGCGGCCTCCGCCGCGCCCGGCGCTCCGCTGCAGCAGCCACCGTCGTTCAGCTCCGGCCCTGCATCGACCGCGCCGGTGGGAGTCCCGATCCACCAGATCATGTTCCCGTCGTCGCCATCACCGCTTCCCCAGGGCGTCCCCATCCAGCAGATCAAGTTCCCGCCGTCGCCGTCACCGCTTCCGGCTTGGATCACTACCCGCCACGTGTCGGCGGCGGTGAGGCTGCAGGCTGCTGCGCGCGGCCTCCTAGCGCGTCGGCGTGTGCGGGAGATGCGTGGTCTGCAGCTGCCGCTCGTCCAAATTGCCCTTCGCTGTGCAAAGGACCTCAATCTCGTCCACTGCGTCGGGGATCTTGGGCATACGGTTTCCCCCACGGGCGGCGGGCATGCTGTTTTTCCCGCGGGCAGCGACCTCAAAGTCTGCGACATCGGCGGTTTGGGGGGGCGCTCCCCTCCTCGTCATTCTCCATCGCAAGCCCTCCACTCTTCCCAGTGCGGTGCAAACCAACAGCCGTCCGGCGGGGAGAAGGCAGGGTGTCACCGACAGGAGCACACCGCGTAGCACCACTGCATTCCGCCGCCGGCCGCCGCGAGGGCGCCTCTGCTGGTCGCTCTTGCGACCACTTCCAGGTGGCCATACACATGCACTCCTTTTGTCCAGGTGATGTCCATGGGATCCAGGTGGCTGTACACGTGCATGTCCGACGTGCGGATGGTGTCCACTTTCTGTTAAGGGGTCCAAAATAAAGCGTTCCGGTCCATTTCAGGTTGAGAGTAATAAAACAAGCCGAGATGTAAAAGGCTTGTTTTTAGGTGTTAGGTTTGTGTTGCGTCGAGTCATGGTTATAAGTTGGCTAGGCTGTAGCTCGAGGACAAGCTGCATGTCCAGGTGGGGTGTAGTGTTAGAGTACGTAATGGGCCTAATGGCCTGGGCTGCCGGTATAGCCCGTTAGTCTTAGGGTTAATTAGAGATAAGGGTCGCTTGCTTAGGGGTCAAGTAAGCCTTGCTTGGGAGTCAAGTAAACCTCTCTATATAAAGAGAGGAGATGTATCAATCTAATCAAGCAAGAATTAAGAAGGAAATCCCTTCCATCTTGCCCGGCCGTGGGCAAAAGGCCCCCGGCCGGCCCTCTCGCGCCCTCCTTCTAGCAGCACCATAACAGGGACATTAAACATATATAGGATTTCACCCTTGCTACTCATGTTTTAAAGTGTTGTCCTGGAAAAAATTTAGATGCCGTACCATCTCTGAGGTAGAAGATGGCTCCTAAACTTGCTTCCCAATTGCCGGTTATTGTCTTCTGGGACTACTAACTAGTGAATTTATATTACATGTCCAGATGGAGAACCATGCTAGTAGAAGTAAGTGCTGTTGTGTGCTTTGTTTATTTGCCGACAAGAACTGTGTTTTCCCTGCAACTGGAAATGTTTCAAGTCTGTCATGCCTCCAAAGAAGATTGAAGTGGTCTAAGTATCAAGGTCCTTCTAGGTGGAGATACATGGAAATAAAAATCTTCAATGGTCTGCGAAAATATCCCTAAGAAGCATCTATAATCTTTGGTGAGAGAATGGTGAGCCTACTTCAACTGTTATTGGACTTCTCTTAAAATTATGAATTGCCCTGATTCATATTTAATTTCCAGCTAACTTTGCTCAAAAAGTCAAAGAGCTGAGGATTCAAACAAGGTACAAACAATTTCTTCTAGTTATAGTTTTCTTCCAAGGTTCTAGCATGGCTCTATACATAGAGGTGCAAGCTTGAAACTTGACTGATGTTTACTTTTGAGGTGATAAAATCTCACCAGGATGTAGCACTTGGTTTGCAAGTTTGGAACTGATTAACTGAGTAGTTCTTACAGTTGAACATTGTGCTCATTTTGTCGAATCAACAGCAGGACAGTGCCTATTTCCTTGTAGCTGGAACCGAGGAGGTGTGTATAACTGGCTATTAGCCTTGATGACTGTACATGTATAGTTTTTACACTCGCTCATAACAAGATGACTCATAGTTCATTATTAAACTTGCAGGTTTGCTGCAATATCTATTCCAGGAACCAGAATTTTCCTTAGTTAACTTCCAGCTGCACCTGTAACTTTGTAAAGTTGTACTGAAAGGCCTATTATGTGGCATCACGCTTAAATTCATTCCGGGTCTGGAAGAAGAGTAAATTATGGAAGTAAAATACCATGAGAAATCTGAGTGCATGCCCATCTACTTGCTACCAGGCTTGGTTGACTCTTGACAGAAAGAAGTTGTGGCTGACTTGAGAAGGCATTCAAGAGTTGCCTGAGTTATGATTTGATAAAAGGAGATAATGTAGGGAAATGATGTTGGCATCAGATAATGTAATCATCCTCCAGTTGAAGTATTCTACGACTGGACCAACTGAACCACAAGTATGGAATCAAAATAAACAACACATATGCAGACAGAGAGTGGTTTCCATTTCTTTATTTAGACGTTTTCTAAAACTGATCAGCAGGTGCATCCCCTTTGGCCGTGCTGGATCCTTATTAGCTTATGTCAAATATAGGCCTTTTGGCCCTTTTCAATCAAA